TAACTTAATGAATAATAAATTTAAATAGTGATAATGCATCATAATTAATAGATTGTGTATATTTACAAGCTTTTAAAAAAGTATATATATTAACCTTTATTATAAATACAAAAATATTAAATATTTATATTTTAAAACTAAAATTTATTTTATTTTATATAATATAAAAGTAATATTTATTCTTAATTCTGATTTTAATTCAGAATAGATAAAATTATTAGCAATAATTAATAATATATATTATTTTCTATTTAAAGTTTTTTTATTTATTGATAATGTTTTTTTAAAGCAATTTTAAAAAATTAATGATGAGTTTAAAATATACTAAAGGTTTGTTTGAAGAAATTCTGATTTGTATAGCATATATAATAAATCTTTATCTTTTTTGTAATTAGTTAATTATGTTTAAAATTAATACTTGAGAAATGATTAACAATATCTTTCTCTTAAAACTATATTTAAAAAAGAGGGTAATTTTGAAAAAGCCAAAGTATACTTTACACAGAGCTTTACTAGCTTTACTAATTTTAAAAACAGTAGCAGAACAGAAACTCTTTTTTTTGTTTCCAAAAAGCACAAGACTTTTGGTTTAGAAGTCTACAGAAACCAGAAAAATAAATTGATAGCAAACTTTTTGACAAAAAAAATAATTAGCAAAAACTGAAACTAACTTTTTTTTTAAAGAGAATACTATGACAACAGAAATTAACCAAGAAGTTTTAACTGATTCTATGCAATATGACTTTCTAAATAATATTAGCTAGAATAAGCAAATCATTTTAGAAAAGAAAAAAAGAGCTTCTAAAAAAAGAAAGAATCAAAACAGCATTATAGTTAGGGTCTGGAATAGGCCAGGTTGGACAGATTTAAGTAAAGCCTATACTTAGATCTACAAAATATTTATAAACCCAAGTCTGGCTTAAGAAAAAAAAAAGCCCAAAAGATGTGCTAAGTTGAGTTTTAATTTAAAATTAGATCTGATCTAAGACTAACCCAAGACTAGTCTAAACAGGTTTACTAATTTTTACAAATACAACTTTATATTTTGAATTGTATAATTTTAATTTTAACTTTTGTGATTTAAATAACTTGAATAAAACTCAATTGTATTTATTAAATTACTTTAGTTAACTTCATGTGGTTACATACTGCATCTGAAAATTGGAAATCTATTAAAATCTAAAGTTGTTTTAAACTTTAAAAAATTCTTAATAATAGCCTAGTTATTTTTAATATTTAAAAATATTTTCAAATTTTATTAGTTCTTTAGAATTTGAAAATAGCTTCAAACAGATATTGCATTATAATATTATTAGGATAATTTTACTTTAAATTAAAAAAAAATTTAATAAAACAAAAGTTTTAGTATTGTCATTACAATATATTAAAATGTAATTAGAAATAGAGTATGGGTCCCATAGCTTAATTGTTAAGTTCCCATACCTCCACAGTCAAGGTCAACAGTTCAAGTCCGACTGGAGGCAAAAATCAAAAGATTTTAGCTTCTGTAACCTATAAGGAGCCTGTAATTGAACACGAAGCCCTGTAGTTAAGTTCAAGTGCAGTATATAACAGAAAAAAGAATTTCTAGAAGAAGATTGACTTTGCAGAGTGCAGGCACTATGGGTGACAGTGGCATTACAGAAGGTTCTGTTATATGAAATATTGTGCATATAAGTCCTCTGGAGATAGGGCAATACTAACATCTTCACATCTAACTTGGGAAGTAATTGATTGGGAAGGTGATACCAAGGTAATACATACTGGAGTAGTAAGAGAAGCAGTGCATGCATAGAAGGTCTGTAACAAAGGATTAGCTTTATTAAGATTGAAAGCACCTCTAATGTTATGAAACAACTGAAAATAGAAGGTAGCTATACATATAGAGAAGTTGTAATTTGTTCTGTACATCTAAAAGTACCAAACCAGAGCTCTGGTCACACCTATATAGAAGCCTATGGCAAAACAAGTAGAACATACCAACATAAATGCTATACCAATCAAAGTTGAGATACTTAAATTGAAAATGATCTTTGTGAACAAGCATGAAGCATTTGTGAGAATGCAGATTTATACAGATATCTGTGTAGATCAGTATATACAGAAAAATGCAAATCAGTGCAAACACAAGATAAGTCCTCATGTATTTAAGTAAAAAGGAAACATTGGCCAATGGCTAAAATAAAATAGAAGTACTATTTCTAAAACATAGTTTTATTATATCATAAAAAAGAGTATTTAAGAGACAGGTTAAATGCACAATTTGTTTGAATAATGCTAAGACCAAGAAGGGTTGCAAACTAGCAGCAGCAGCAAGAATCTGGTTTGAGATATCTGCTACCAGTATCTGAATTGGAAAAATAACAGCAGTAGCAGGAATCTGGCTTAAGATATGTGCTAGAGAGACACCCTTTGGGCAAACCAAAGATAGAAGCTCAAAAGGAGCAAATAACCTGATGGACCAATTTGGGAGTTGTGAAAAATAGGTTGTGAGACATAGGGTGAATATGCAGGTTATCTAATATAATCGGTAGTGAAACAAAATCCAGGTTAGGTGTAAGTGAGATACAATACAAAGCTTTGGTAGGTTTAGGCCAAAAATAAAGATATCTAAGTCCTATGTCTGAATAGATATATAGTGATAGATGATGTATAATAAAAAATTGTACTAGTTATAACAAATATACTAATAAAGACTTGAGGGCATGGCCTTATCTTAACAAAAAAAAAAATGTAATTAGAAATGATTGGAATTGTTATTTTTTAAAATTTTATAAAATTTTTATAGTTATTTAAAAAGCATAATAACAACTTGGCCAATACTTTTTCAAGTTTAATTTATAAATCAAAGAGTTGCATGACATATTATGTCAAATTACATAATATTACTAACTTTTAAAACAGTAATAAAAGTTTAATGATTGCTAAATAAAAAAAAAATACCAAAATTTTATTTGGTAGTGATCATTTCTAAATATTTTTTTTACTAATATAGATTTAATCTAATGACAATAATATACTTTAACCTTGTTCTGAATGTTTGAAAAAAAAATTTAATAAATATATTCTATCAAATTTACAATAAAAGGTTGATGCATATATTTTAAATACTATTTAATATACTATTTTTATTATCAAAAATCTTATAGCTTTTGTCTTACTAGAATATAACAAATATGATTGTTGGTTAAAAGATCAGTATATTCAATAATTAGTATATTTGTTGTGCCTCAGCTAGTGCTTGCCTCAAATCACAGCTAACACACCTTAAATGTAAATTGTTAAATGGGATGTATAATCTATAGATTGATCATTAAACAATGATCTGACATGCACAAAAAAGAAATTAATATATAGAAAAAAAAGTATAATTGAAAATAAATATGCTGAAAAAACTTAAAAAAAATATGCTATAAAAATTCAAGCAAAAAAAAAAACCTTCTATGTGTATAAAAAAAACAAACTACATGTATAGAAAAAAAAAGTATTAATTAAAAATAAAATATACTACAAAAATTCAGACAAAAAAATTCAAAAAAAGAACAAAGTTTAAGAGATTTAAGAATATTACTAAAAGTAAGAGAATGCTAAAGAAAGTAATTCAAGATACTGAAGATAAGAAAGATGTCAAAGTGATTTAAAATAAAGAATGCTACTAATGGAAAAACCTTAAAGAGATTCAAGAAATCAAGAATAAAAAAAAGCCTAAATAAAAGGCTTTTTATTTAATTTATTTTATCTCTTTTATAAAATCAAGCTTAGATAACAAATCAATAAGTTATACACCTCACCTAACAATCTGTATCTGAGATATGTCAATTATGATCTAAGACAAGCATTAATATAAGGCACAATATATTCAATAGCTAAAAAGATTAGTACATTAAAAAATTAAAAAATTAGTATATTCAGAATTAAAATTAGAATATATTAGTTATAAATTATTACTTTTATATTTTTTTGTTTTTTTATAAAACAAAATCATAAAATTAGGTTTGCATTAATAGTTTAGAATAATAAACCTTTTTATATACATTATGCTAATTTAAGTTTGAAATTTAATTTGACTCTCTAAGCCAATTGGTAATTCTAGAGAATTAGTAAAAAAGTAAACCAAATAAACTTAGCTATTTAAAAAAAAAAATTTTTTCTTAAAGGTTACTGTCTAAATATCTCAAATGCTTTTACCTCACTTTGACTACAATGATTCATATTAAATTGATCTAATTTTTTTATTTAGTATATTTATATTCATAATTGTTAATTTTCTTAAAATAAGCATAGTATAGAGTTTTTTCAAACTTTTTATATTTTATATGTATCTTGTGAAGTAGTTACCTGTATATACTAAAGATTAGTTATTTGGACTATGGTTAATAAAAATTAGGCAGATTCTTTTAATAAATAGCTTAATTTCTATTTAGCAGTAACTATTTGCTTATAAATACTTAAAATAACTTTTCAATAAAAAAATTTTAAATATATATTTTTAGCTTATCTATTTATGTTTTTTTGCTTCTCTTATCCAATTTTGGTTATAAATTAATGTTTCAACAGTCTCTAAACTAAGGTTTGATCAATCATTATTAATAATTCTTCTAGCTGCACTAAATATTTAAACAAATAACTAGCAAGCTTCTATTATATAATAAGCTAACATATTAGAGAATTTTAAAATTAAAACCAAAAAAACTTATTTTATTTTTCTAATTTATAGTTAAATATAATAAAAAAACTATTTAAAAAATTCTACTTATTTTCAAAATACTTGACTTATTTGATAATTTTAAAACCTCTAATTACTAAAATTTTACTTATTGCTTTAGAAACTATTGAAGTTATTGAGATAGCTAGAATATCTTATGCTATTGATGCCATAGAAGAATATTTTTGAGTATTTTTTTTTATCAAACTAAAACATCAAATGACTCAGAAGAACAAAAAAGAAGCAAATCAGCAAGGTACTGCTTCAACTTATATATTTTTTTAATGAAATTAGCTTAATTGTCTGCAAGAAATAGATTAAAACCTTTTATAATTTCATCATCTTGAGGTGTACTAGCAGTATTAAGATAATTATTATTATTGACAAAAATAGTTATGCTTTGCATATAAGTTGACTTAAAAATAATTATAGTTCTATAAAAATAAATATTACTAAATTAGCAAAATATTAAAATTTAGTTTATTAGATTAAGATAACTTACTTTATTTTAATAGTGTTTAATTTTTTCCTTAGCTTCATTATGTGATAAGTGCAGTTTTTGTCTATAAATATGTGTAAGAAATAATATCTTAAAGCAAGAGTCTATTATTAATGCAAAATAGTAAATATCTTCTATATTATACCAATATTTGTCAAATTTAAATTGCATAAATATAACTATTTAACTAATAAAAGAATTTGTATTGATAGCATTTTGTTTAAGATAAATTTTAATTTTTATTAATTAAAAAAAAAAAGCTTTGTAATTAAATATTTGCTTTCTGATATAATATTTGTGACTAAATTAAAAAACAGTTAACATTTAGTTAAAATATTGAATCTTTGCTAATAAAATAACCCTTTAGGACTATAGTTCTCAAAGGTTATTTTATTAGCCAAAATCCTATATAGCTAGTATATATTATTTTTTTTCAAATATAGAGATATGATTTAGTTATTGCAATTACTTTCATAGAATGGTCTCAAAAAATTACAAATGATTTTAGCTCTTTGTTACAAGGCATAATTTGTTCAAATCTGATATTTTGTAATGCAAGATGTTCAAATATATTTTTATAAAGAATAGTAAACATTAGTATTAGATATACAGAGTTTCATCTAATAGGCACATTAAGAATTGGTCTTAATTTTAATACAAGATCACTATAATATCTGAATATTGCATCTTTAAAATTTTGTTATTGAGTTTGCAAACTACTTATCTACTTAATATATTCTCTAATTTTACTAATAATATTTTTAACCTTTTTTAGACTATTACAAACTATAAGTTTAGTATATGTGCATAACAACATTAGTATAATAGACTTTCACTAGCAACAAGAATACTTTGTTTTTTAAGTTTATCTTTTAAATTAGTGATTGCAGCATCATTATTTGTTGCATTATCTATAGTAATTACTAATATTTTTAATATAACATTTTACTTATTAAAATATTTTAAAAGCATTTCACAAATAGCAAATTCTGTATACAGTGTAGAGATTAATTTAAAGACTAAAACCAGATTTTGAAGCTTCCAATTCTTGTTAATAAAATGATATGTTATAACTATATATTCAAATGTCTGATTGAATGTTCACAAATCTGTTATATAGCTTAAGTGTTTAAGTATTTTATATATCATAATATAGGCTTTTATTCTTAATTCTTTAACAACATTCATACAATCTTTACAGACAGTCTTCTCACTTATCATACTAAAATGTGGTTACAAATTACTAACAAATATTAAAAACTCTTCATGTTAAGCCATGCTAAATGAATAATCATGTCTAAAAACCATTTGTATAAAATTTTTACAACTTTGTTCTTAAGAAAATCTACAAATAGCAAGACCTGATGCAGATAATTTTAATGTTTATTGTAATTCATTAACTTTTAGAAATTATTACACTTTGAGTTTTTCAAATGATAAATTAAAGAACTAGTTTCTATATTGTTATTATGTTTCAGAATAATATTACAATATATATATTTTATATAATTCTCTAGTAACATTTTTTTTAATAAAAAAAAAAATTATATATATATATATATATTGACTGATTTATAGATTTAAATTTATTATAATAAAAATTTTATTTTGTTAAGATTATGTTTAACAAAGTGGCCATTTTTAAAGACCTATAAAAGTAGTTGGTCTTTTTTATATTTTTTGTTAACAGTAGTAGCTAGAATATGTTTATTTATAGCAGTTTTTTTATTATTATTATTTATAAAATTTTTATTTACAATATTTATTTTAGAATCTTTAGTTATTTCAAAGCTTTCATTGTCAATAGTTATTTCAGAGCTTTCACTTTCATTAACTGTTGAATAGAAATAAATAACTTATTTAAAATATGTGATATATAGTTTTTTTAGTATGCAAATAATCAATATATCATAATTCATTTATTACAAATATTATACTATTATTTAAATACCAAATGATATAGTTTAAAAAAAATATTTGAAGCTTATATCAACTTTGATTCTGTGTTAATTAAAAGAAAAAAAGTTTTATTAAGGTCCTTCTAATTTTATTTATATGCCTATTTTAGACTCTAATTACAGTCATGTCTAGCTCTAAGATATGTGTCTTGAAAGACAAAACAATAAAGAAAACAAAACAATAACAACATTATATATAGAACAAAACAACACATCTCTTGCAAAATCTAATGCAACAGATATAAACAAAAGCAAAGAGGTCTTAAACAAATAATGGTCAAGCTCAGTGTTGTACATTGAACATGTCCACACTATATAAAATATCCAATGTTCAAGATTGTCCAAAATCATTCAAGTCTATGTCCAAAGTTTAAATAATCAATAAAGTATATTAAAAATATATATAATTATATATTTTTT